ACTACTAATAGCTACTACTAATAGCTACTACTAATAGCTACTACTAAGAGCTACTAACTACTACTAGCTACTACTAGCTACTACTAGCTACTACTAACTACTACTAACTACTACTAACTACTGCTAACTACTCCTAACTACTCCTAACTACTACTGACTACTACTAACTACTACTAACTACTACTAACTACTACTAACTACTACTAACTACTACTAACTACTACTAACTACTACTAACTACTACTAACTACTACTAGCTACTAACTACTACTAACTACTAACTACTAACTACCTACTACCTACTACTACTACTACTACTACTGATACCTACTAACTACCTACTACTACTACTACTACTACTACTACACTACTACTACTACCACTACTACTACTCCTACTACTATGCGACTACTGCTCCTACTACTCCTACTACTCCTACTCCTACTCCTACTCCTACTACTATTACTACTACTACTACTACTCACTCAGTTGATGCAGTTGATGCAGTTTGATGACAACTGCATCAACTGGATCAACTGGGACACCTGTTCAACTAGGTCGGCTGGGGCCACAGATTTGCCGGTGCCCTGTGCCGACGCAAACCACATCCATGCAGGAACTCTTTAACTCCCTGCAAGAGGCTTTGGAGAAGGACTGACCTGTCCTATCGACCTCTTTCAAGTTCCCATCATGAACTCCAAGGTAAAGCGCCCCCTGTTTTGGAAGTCAATGTGTTTGTTCAAACATCCGAATGTTTCCACATCATATTCTTCTCACATTTGAAACTTGACTGGCGATTTTAGTTGGTCCTCGAATGGATGCCACGGTTCATCAATTTATGCATTGGATGCATACGCTTGATGTCTGGGTGAAATCAAGCAACTCTAACTCTAGAACCTTTGCCGTTTGTGTTGTTTGGAATGGTTGGGTATCGGATCATGTTCCAAATGTGGGGGTGTCGTCTGGATGTTGGACCATGCAACATTCCACCCAAGGTGTTTCCATACGTGGGCGTTCTGCTGCACTGATTCCAAAAACAGTTCCCGCGCAGTTCCAGCAAAGTTGGAATTGGAACGGTTGCACTGACCTTCTGGTGTGGGTGTATGAATGTGTATGGGGTCCAGCTGGGTCTTCCGTCTTCCTGTGGTTTTCTTTCGGCCCAACTTGGGGTTTCGAGGAGCGGCGTGGGCTTGCGCAGCAGACGCTGCAGCTGCGGAGCAGGAGGCGGTTGGTGCGCCTGAGTGCCCTGCGCTGCCGAGAGGCCGCTGATCTCTGAGTCTGACGAGTTGCAGTTGTGCATATTTTACATGCTACCGTGTAGTTGAGGCCATCGCTCTTATATAGATTCCTTAAAGTCTTTTACTTAAGGCCGTAAGGCCCTTTTATACTGGTTGTTTGCTCAGAGCTTGTGTAGAGCCAGCAATGTGTTGTTGATATTAATTGCAAAAACGGCCATGCCATTTTGGCTCAGGCTGTGATTCGAAACGTCTTCGACCTCCCGCTTTTTCGCGCGGGTGAGCCAACCGCGGAGTGGGTTGATGTCAAGACGCCCGAGTCTCCACCGGAATCCACTGGTTGAAGGCTGCCCGGCACCCGCAAGTGCCTCTAGCACAGATGGGGGCCCACGGCCAGACACCGCGTGGCAACTGTTGACCAAAGCCCGCCGCCGAGTCAAGATCCAACACAGTGAGTGGAAGTACCAAGTGGCTCAGGTTGATGGAGAATGGTGGGTGAACAAGGTCGGCGCCTATGGGATGGCTAGCGCCCAACTCTACTGGGGCTGGTGGCCATCGACTAAAACTTTGTCTTTGTCGACGATATCAGATCAAGCGCCCTTGCTGACTACCTCAGTCCTCCTGCTCCTTATGTGGTGGGGTGCCCACTGAGCTGGAAGAAGACGGCGCTCTCAGAAATAAGTCGGTTTCCTGGTCAAAGCCAACTGCCCAGACAAATGTGAAATCGTGATAACCTGCTGAGTGCAAGTGTTGGATTGAATTGGGCAACGAATGCAATCCTTCTCGCCCGTTCCCTCCTGCAAACTTTGGACATGGTTCATGGCCCTGGACAAGAGTGGCGTGCCTAGCTACCTCCTCCGAACGATTGCGCTCTGTTTTCCACTGAGTACCGACGGGCTTCTCCATACAACCCCATCTCCGCCTGGTGGGGCGCGAGTGATGCAAGCGCCAGCAAAGGAGGCAACGCCTTCGTTGGGGGTTGGTTTTATAAACAAGATATGCCCGAGAAGCACGAAATCTGGTTCAGATTCTGGAATCGGGCCATCCTGCGCTTTCCTTCTACATGAGCGCGGCCTACAGCTGGCCCCTTCCGCCTGAAGAGAGACTACAGCAACGAATGGGCTGACGAACTGACCCATCCTGATAGCGAAGAAACTGGTTGTGTCCTTTGACCTTCAAAAGTTTTCATTCCTTTGGAAGATTCTAAGCGAGTCTCCGTTTTCTCCGAAGAGGAGACGCAGCGTCAAATGATTGACCCCTTCCTGGCCACCCAAGGTCCTTTCTGAAAAGGAGCCCGGTGGCCGCGCTGACAGGCAGTGGCCCTCTGTGATGATCTTCAGTTGGTCCCGCCCTGCCGACCATGCATGCTAGGGCGGCTGTGATTGAGGTGACCCACCTGCTTGTTTTTGATGTGAAGACACATACCAGGGAACCTGTGGTGGATCTTTCAGTGATGACAGACCTGCAGCAACCGCACCAGGCACCCTCATCTGCTTGCAAAAAAGGGGTGTGCCTACTGCTGCAGAGTGAGGGTGGGAAAACGAACAGTTTTCACCTCTAGACAAGGACACTTCTCAAAGTATACTGGAGGCTCATGTTTCAGAAGGGCCCGCCGTTGCAGGTGACAAAGTGCGTGCGACATTGTGCCAAGGCCACCTGGGCAAGTGCAGTGGGTGGATGGACTCAATAGATCTCAATAGTGGACTCAGTGCCTTCTTGCAGGTAAAGCCGTCCCGTTTAGGAACTGAATATGGAGCCTGGGCCGGTAAGACAACAATTTTAAGTGTGTTTCCCAAGGGCCATAGTTCTGAAAGAGGATCTTATTTTCCAAACTCAAGTACCCTTACCGCACCTTGCGGATCCAGGGGTTCTTTCCCATGCCATCATACAACGCCAATGTAGATTTATCATTCATTGGAGCAAAACGTTGACAATGCCCAACTGTTATGCAACCCACAAAGTTGCACTTTCTAGGAAGACCTAATAGGATTTGGGGTCGTTCTTGCATGAGGAACCGCCAAATACCCGATCGTGACTTCATGTAGCATCCCAACAAGGCTGCCTGGACCTTGCGTTTTAATTGCTGCTTGCAGACGCTCTGGACAGGCTGGACGGGCTCGGCGACTGACCTGCCAAATTGACAACGCTTCTGCTTATTTAGCAGGCTAGAATCACTAGAATCTAGAATCATGCACTTTGTGCATCTTTGTGCCAGTTTTCAGGGCGAGACTACTGTGGCAGATTGATGCAATAGATCCAATGTGTCAGCAATCACCGTTTATTGGTGCAGTGCTGTGTTAAATCCTGTTGTGTGCTCAAGAGAGCACAGGTTCGGACCGTCAGTCAGACCTCGGCATGCCAGAGCTTTGTGTGCTTGGGCTCCATCCTCGGTTGCACAGCGGCCTGTGACAGGGTATTCGAGTTGAACGAAAGCACGTGTTTGGTGAACTCGAGCTCAATCATGTGCTGCCCAAAAGTCATAGAAAATGCTCACAGGACACAAACCACTGGAGGACTTTGCTATGAAGGAGGGGACGAACTTCAACTCGATTTCACCTTGGGCTAACACAAGATGCTCACAGAAACTCTGGTTGGCAGGGGCTTATTCTGCTTGAAAATGGGTAGGGCCATGTGAGGTCATTCGCGAAACGGACTCCAGAGCAGCCTTTTCTTCCATCCTCTTAGGCCAGAGACCGATCCCAACAAGCTGGACTTGGACCAAGAGCTCCTTGGACCTTGCTGGACTTGGAAAAGAAGACAGAAGAAAAGAACTACAGTATTCCTTTTGTTTTTTTCACAAGGCATTGTGATCCGCTAAGTTCCTGTGTGAGTCACAATTGGTGATTCAGTTGAGCTTGAGTTGAGTTTCATTCTGCGCAATTCAACCTTTTCTGCGAATTGCCGGTGGGTTTGCGTTCAAAGGTTGGCCAATGTTTCTGTCCTGATTCATGCATGACAAGCGCAGTTAGACAGCTTGTTATTTGACACACAAGCAACTTTCAGGCGGCATGACCAGGGTCAACCACATGAAGACTTCCTTTCGTTTCATCACAAGCCGCTTCAAGCATATTATTTGCACCGCCATTAGACATGCTCATTTGTATGTGCTCACTATGAGTGCTGCGGAAAGAAGACCACAGGTGATCACTCGCAGAGAATTAAAGCTTGGAATACAAAGAGTGGAGCTGCGCCTTTATCGGCGAACCCGCACCTCATCGGAAATCCACATTCGGCGGCCGCACTTTGTTTACACCATCAAAGTGCATTGGGAAGGAGATCCCTTGCCTCGTGACACATCCACAAGACCGAGGTCTGCAAGTCCCCAGGCAAGCCCTCGGCATTCGCCTATGTCTCCGCGCTCACCAGATGGGAAGAGCCTTGGCTTCGAGGATCCGTGGCCTTGGTGGGATCCGCTGCCGACCAACTATACCATTAAGAGGAGATGGCGCGACATTGTCCGCTTCCATGAGTCCCTCAAGGTGGAGTTAGCCAACGACCCAGTGTTGGATTGCAGACGGGTGAAGGCTAAAGATCCAGTTCTTCCTACTCCAGCGGATGTGGACGCCTGGCTCAAGTCCTACGCTGCGACTAATGATGCTTGCGCCTTGGGCCGAACAGCGACAGAGGTCCTAAACAGGGAGTTTGCGCCCTGCTTCAATGAGCTTGGGGATCTTCACTGGACGTATTGCCACAATCGCCTCGTGCCATATTTCAACGATGCAACCAAGGTCTTAGAAGAAGTCCCAACAGAGATCTTGGCTTCTTCCCGAGCCTTGCGACGATTTGTCACCGGAGGGGTCAGTGGCCGGCCACCTCCATCGGCTCTTCCTGTGCCTCCGCGTTTCTTGGGGAAATTGCTGCCTGTTTTGCCCGATGGCGAGGAGATCTCTCGTGCTGCCAGAGAGCTCCAGAAATCCAATTCGCTTAGCACGCTCTCAAGACCCAGGACCACAGATGACGTGTCCGGGAGACCCAGGAAAAGTTCACAAGGCTCTATGTCCAATGCACCGCTGGCAGCAGCAAAACTCATGGTGAAACAGTGAACAGGAATGACATGGAATTAATCAAGCACTTTCATGCGCTTGAAATTTGTGAGATTGAGCTCGTGATATTGCCTGTAACAGGCCCGATTTCCATTTTTGCCAAACCAATTCACTTGAACGAGTATGCATTTTGATAGTTGCTGTGCGCTTAAAGTGCATCAGCCCACCTAGCTTCGAAGCTGTAAGATTGAACAGCACCCTGGAGTAGCCAAAAACTGCTGCATTTTTTGAGGAAACACTTTGTTTCTCTCCGACCTAGACCATCCTAGACCTAGATAGCTTGGCGCCCAGAAAAAGGTTAGAGCATCTGGCGAGCCCACCTACCTACAATGCTGCAGACTCAATCCTCAGAAAGCCAGGGGTTTCGCCTCACTATATACTGTAAGTGGTTTGATCTTCGGTGGGAAGGTAAACACCTAAACACCTCCATCTAGAAGTGTATGCCAAGGCTGAGTCCTCGACAGGGGAGGCCAGTGGGCATGTAAATTGCAAGCTGCGAGCGGAGTCACAGAGCTGGTCAACGCGCGTTCTGCATCTCTCTCTCTCTCTATATATATATAATCTATTTTCAGCCGGCCGGGCCACGCCTCGTGTTTTTCTGGCGAATGACCGATCTGATGAAGGGATTTGCAGTCAAGCTCTTGTTTCCGGTGGAGAATAGAGATCAACGCCTTTTGCAGAAAGAGGGTTAACACGTCAACACCAAGGCGCGACAACTAACAAACATAGATGATTCATCCTTTCATTGCCAGAAGTGCCTGGCTTGCTTGCTTCGTTCCAGCTAGATCCCACACTCGCCTTGTGGAGGCAGGAGAGGCAGGAGAAATAAGAAACATATATGAACAAAGGAAGGTAAGGCCGCCTTCAAAGGGACCTTTTGCCTCTCGCCTTACCTTCCTTTCTTCATCTCTCTTGTTTTCCTCACTAGGCCACCTCACTCCCCTGGATGGATGGGTTCCTCGTTTGTCATTGTAGTGCTGGAGGCGGCGGAAGCGTGATGGTCTCTTCGGCATTTTTTCGCAGGCAAGTTGGGTGTACTTGCAATGCATGCCCCGATCAGAAAGCAGATGGCTTTGAAATGCTTTGACATTTGAACAGCATGGTGGGATCACAGGAAAACATGGAGAACCAATGCTGTGCAGAAACATTTCCTTCTTTGACGGGAACGCCTTCTGTGAACTGAGCCAGACAAATTGTACGACTAGATGATACTATTAGATGATAGTAAAGTAAGGTCCGTTCATAGACATTGTTGTACTGCATATATAGTCGTTTGCTGAGTCCTCGGATTCCTTGAGAGGAGCCGGAGATGGAACCTCGCCGGGAGTCTTCGGTGCGGATGGTGAAGAGGAACTATTGCACCTTGGCATCTCAACTTGGTGCTCAGATTTGCTCAGGGCGTTCGATATATTAATAGTTATATAGCAATATATACGTATATTTGTGGTGTGAACCTAAGTTAGGTTTGGTCAAAAAGAGGACTGTCCGGGCCAACTTTCGCGAGAACTTAGTGAAGCAAGAACCTGGCAAAGAAGGTGAACACCGTCTTTGCCACTCCTATCCCGCCCTTGATCGTGTCCTGCGAGCCTGTAAAGGAGGGACATGACCAATGACCTGGCCAAGGCCCATACCATCGTTTGGCGGCTGTGGGTGCCAGCATTGGTGTGGAAGGCTGGGTTTGCAAGGTTCATAAACAAGATGAGAAAGCCTCTCAAATCCAATGCCGTCTTGAAGCTGGTCCCCAGCTACCCAGCCGAGTATGTTCATCCATACTTTGAGTTGGAAGCATTTGTGTTTCTCCCTGTTGACATTATGGGCTGGCAAATCTCAAGAACCTGCTCCTTTTGAGATTCTTTTGATGCGTTCTGTTGAGACATTTTCTTGTGAGATATCCGACAGTGTCCTGTGACCGAAGCTTTCCTTTTCCAAATAGTCCTGTGTGTGTTTGTGTCACGAGACCTGAGCCAGCATCCAGGCTTAGCCAATGATTCTTCACGTTCCCACTCTGCGACACGGAACTTGCGGGAGATCCTCAGCGTGACCTGGCAGATGTGCAGGGGATGAGAAAACCATTTAGGGTCTGTGGACATTGACATTGGGATGATTGGTTAAGCTGATGCTTCTTCTTATGATTAATCCATCCAATTACAATACTTTTGATACTTTCTGATTGGTAGGACCTGGTAGGATTTGATTGCAGTACTGTAATTCTGCGTGAAACGTGAGTGGAGTAGTCATATTGTCATTAGAAATTGATGGTTGCCAGTAATCCAACGCAAAAGCCTAATGCACTTTGATTCAAATTCCTCCTCCCTCCACGAGGGTGGCCCCCAATAGTCAAAAAGGCTGAGCCCAATGCACTGTCACTCAAGTGACCAGTGATTTGAAGTAGGCTATCCAGGCTATCCACCTGCATGTTTCCTTCTCCGCAAGCGGACGGATGAGTACTCCAACGCAGGTTGCAGAGAAACCACTTTTGCATTTGTTATGTAACGGTGGCCAGGCGCTGTCAAAGCTTCGTATTGACCGTGCACGGCAAGAGCGTATGGGCATGACGAAGGTCATTCAGGAATAGCTGCAGCATACGGAGGTGTAAGGAACGGGGAAGATGGATCAGGTTGGTACGGCAAGCATGCGGGGCTGTGCCCTTCAATACAATTTTGATCTATATATATATATTGCCAATTGAGCATACTTAGTCACTATGACGCTGGACGCTGTCATAGCACCGGCAACACTGAAAAGAGTGTGAAAGCCAAAGGCGCAGATGAACCTTTCCCAGATTCGAGCGCCACTGTAGATGCCCCTGTATTTGAGATGTCCGGTGGTTGAGACGTGTTGAAATGGATGGTGTGTCAAGTGGATGACTTTAAGTCGCGAGATCGACTTGCTTTAAACTCTAGCTGTTTGTCCGGAAGTGATGACCAACCTCCGAAGTTCCGTGCAAGCTTTCCCAGTCACACCATGGGCCCATCGGTCTAATTGCGAGCTGGGAGCATGACAACCACCGAGCAAACATGTTGTAGCACAGATATTCCAAGAGCCTTGGACTCCTACTGAATATCAAGAAAACTTGCACTTTCACAACCCATTACCCATGACATCCCTGACCAAACAGGAGCTTGTTGTCATGGTCTCTGGGATCATCTCCAACCATTGCAGGCAAGCTTGGGAACCTGAGATTGGCTTCCAGCGAGGTGCAGCTAGGAGTTGGAACATCAGGAGTCCTAGATGTTGGCATCCAATCAGAGTGGCTTTCACATCTCAGACTGAGGCAGCTCTCTTGGGTAGAAACTGGAACATTTGTAGCATGAAAAGACAGGGGTCCAGGGGTGCGACAGCAACTTGTGTTTGTGTGAGTCTTTGTTTGAGTCATAAGACTCAGACTCAGAGCCATCTTCGCAGCGAAGTTGTTCTGTTTAAGCGTTTGTTTGGTTGGTGGACATACCCTGCACCACCTACCAGCAGATGGACAATTTAGTGCATCCATTCCATCCCAGGTGATGCAGGGTTTTGTCGATCAACAGTGTTGCAGGCTGTCCCAAGCAAACGCTGCACACTCCCAGGACAGGACTGTCATGGTCAATCAAGGTCCTTCACAGACCCATCGGTCGAAATCACGAAAGGTTGCCTCAGGAATCCTCCCAAACGACGTGATTTTGAGGTCGCGAAAGGCGATTCTCCACTTTCCTCCCCCCCATGGGTTCAACTCGCGAAAACCAAATCAGGACCACAGGTTCCACCAGCCCCAAAGAGCCATTTGCCGTCCGCAGCAGCACATGACCGCTGCTCTTACCTTCCCTATACCAACAACCTTTCGCCCACCCCCTCTCAAGCCTTTTAGGTCGCACAAGCATGAACCTGCAGGAGTAACCAAGCACGAACTCAGCAACTCCGTTGTGGGGGTTTCATCCAATCACATTGCGAACAGCAAACGCCTCGCGGATAAGCTGACAGTTCATCACACTTGGTTCGAGTGGGTTCTGTTGCTCTCGAAAACTCTCTTCGGTCGAAACACGTTGCACAGTCTTTTTTCCGTGCAGTCTTCTTCGCATTTATCATGGTTGCAAACCCACGGAAGGCACAGTGGTTTGCAACTTCTTTCAGGTTGCACAAGCTTCACAATTTCACTCGCCATCACAGGCACACAAGTCCTTTCTTCCACCAAATTGTTTCAAGTGTTGCCTCCATTTTTGCTGCACCTCATACATTGCAAGACAATAATTACAGGAAACGGTGGCTACTTGGGCCTACTCCGGCCATGAAAGTCTTAGGTCAAGCGAACGGGGATTTCATTCTTTGCTGGGGACATTTGGTTTTTGTGTTTAGTTCATTTTAGTTCGCATAGCCGCAGAAACTCTGCGTCACCCCCAGCCTCAAGGAGGAAGATGAGGAATGGGTGCGGCCGCACCTCTTGCTTCAAGGCTGCTATTATGTTGTAGCAACATTTTTACAGAGTACTCAAATTAATTGGAACGCACCTTTCTTGATGTATATAGGTGTGAATGAAAACTAGACACACATCCATTGGTCGGGGGCCGGTTGGGGGCCTTCCTATTCTAATGCATATTACATATCCATTCTCCTTTTTGATTATCCGGGGCTGCAGAAGTTGCATTGCGTGGCTGTGTGAATGGTCAATCAGAGCATGGTAAAAGTAGCATAGCTTCATGTAATCATTGTGTCACTCTCTCAACTTTTGCACCATCATTGAACTGAAAGATCACAGAAGAATCCAGAGACTATTTTGTGCTGCCGGATCAGGCAGTGAAGCACACGCGACCGAGTGTGTGTCTCGCTTCATCTTCCACCAGCTGCATCATCGTTTCTTTCCCACTGAGCCCACAGTGGACGATCAGAGGATGGGCTGACGACTGCGAGTCCACTCAGTGATAAATCTTGGTCAACGCATGTCAAAGCTTTTTCACTGGATAGACTTGCGAGTGCGCAGGATCCACGCTCAAATTCAGCGATTTTCATGGCTCCGGCCACGTCACCTCGATTTGCCAAGACCTCTTGTAGACACAGAGCAGGCAGCTTTGGACCGGACAAGTTCTCACTTTGTCGGTTGAAAAGTGACCTTACCCAGTGCAATCAGTTCAATCCTTTGGCATTGCGCATTTGTAATATTTTTTGATGAGGTAGTCTTTGGGATCTTTGGATTTGCTTGAGGGCATATTCAATAGGCTAAACAGACAGTGCGGTTGGCAATCCTAGAGGGGCTTTAGTTGAAGGCCACTAAACAAATCTTTTCGGTGCGGCCTAACATGTAGTGCTTTCCTTCGCTGGTCAAGCAGGCCAGCGAGGCCATCTTGCTCCTCCGAAAGTTGCGCATTTTGCCAGAAGCCCAGAGAAAGCTGTGTTTGTCAGTCGTCTCCGTACCTGTTTGAGAGACAGCTCTTCACTGCCAGAGTCTGGTAGGCAATCTTTACGTCTCTGCCGGCTGCCATTCTCATGATTTCCCTCGTCGCCAGCATCTCCCACTTCCCCAGTCTTGGATATCTGACATTTGCCGCTATCTTTTCTAGTCCCAAGTCAAGTAGCAGTTTGGTGGCTATGACGGCATCACATAGAGTATTGCTACTAGTATGTATTGCTTGTGTGGACGACCTGACTCTGGCTCGGCATGACTTGTCAACAATCTGATGCCCCAGAGTTTGGTCCACCCCAGCTCTAGCTACTAGTAACTTCTTGTTACTACTGTAGTAGTAATGGCCTCCGACATACTAGCGATGGCCTCCAACCTAATTGCTTCTAGATACTAGGCCAAACCTTCAAGCTCTCAACTAAGAACCTACTAAGGCGGAGTCCATGCGAGATCTTGGAGGTGATTGCCAAGGCATTTCGCATCACAACCCAGGCCATTTTCCCAGTGAACGTCCAGGCAGCTCGAGCGATTCTATCAGCATTAGATTCTGAATGACCCAGAATTTAGAATATCAACAGAAGGGATGGCATGACATGAGGCATATTTGATCAACCACAAGTCATCCCAAGTCTGGCTAGTCATGATCACTTGGCCCAATGATCTCCTCAGGCTGCGTGCCTTAAATCGAAGCTTGCCGAAGGCCCGGTTTCGTGTGCGACTAGCAGTTGCAGTGATCAAACACAAACCAAGCTAGCGGGTGCCAGTGCATGCTGCAATGCAGTGCCAGAACAGTTGCCTTCTTCCTTTTGGTATCCTAACAGAAGTCCTAAAGCCAAAGTTCACAGAGTGAAGCTGAACACACAGATGCAAGAGCACAGAACTCTCCTAAAAGGTTTTACTGTTGACCCTAAAGGCTAGACAGTAAAACACCGGTCAACTACCGTCAACACTAGACATTTCTGTGTGACTCATTAACACAAGAGCTGCTGCTAGGCCAATCCAAGTCTTCCCAGGACTGGAAAACACATCGGGCAATATGCCTGCGACCATTGCGCAAGCGACAACGAGCAAGCGACAATGCATATGGCGCAGGACAATGCATTTGGTGCAGATGAGGCTTTGCCGCTTTTTATCCTGATTATCATCAGCCTGGGCCTCAACTCAACCTGTACAGATATTGTATTCTCTTTGTTGGTCGTTCTCCTCAGGGGCCAACCCGCCAATGCTCCACAGTGTGCTTAGCTATGCTGAGCACTTCACAGCCCGCGGCTCAGCCATTTTGTCAGATTAGACCACTTGATCCACTTGCTTTTGAGGAAAGAGAAGCTGAGAAACATGCGAAGAAGAAGAAGACGTAGAAGAAGAAGAATAATAATAATAAGAAGAATAAGAAAAATCAAGAAGAATAGCAAGAATAATAATAAGAAGAATAAGAATAACAAGAATAAGAAGAATAATAAGAAGAAAAAATAAGAATAACAATAAGACGAATAATAAGACGAATAATAAGAAGAAGAATAAGAAGAAGAATAATAAGAATAAGAATAATAAGAATAAGAATAAGAATAATAAGAAGAATAATAAGAATAATAACAATAATAATAAGAAGAATACGACGAATAAGAAGAAGAAGAAGAAGAAGAAGAAGAAGAAGAAGAAGAAGAAACAGAAACCTTTCTTTCAAAGGAACAAAGTCTTCCTCGTCACGGAAACTAGCTACTACAGTATTTAGCTTGCAAGTGTACTAGCTACTTTGCTTAAAGCAACTAAGCTACCTCCGCGACTCTTGCTAGTCTACCCTTATTTTTTTTTGGTATACTACTGTATATTATATGTTCCTACTAAAGTTTATATCATATCAACATCACAATATGTTTTGCATGCTTGCTGTTTGCTACACAATCCTGGCAGCAATTCCCAAGACCAGCGACCAGCTGCGTACCGAACAGGGCTATGCGCTTGCACAGGCGACGCGGAGAACAGTTGCGAGTTGCAGGTTTGACAACCCTGGCCTTTAACCGACACCTAAAACAAGGGAACACATTGTCACATCTACTATCATCTACTTAACATATTGTTTTGACTTGTTATTTATTTTTGGAGTAGGCCGTAGAGAAGAGGAAGCAAGTAGTCAGCAAGTAGATAATCAGATAAGGGGTATGTACTTGCATGCAGGCCCGGGTCTGGTCTTTTGGAGACTACCTTGTCGTCCACGCCTTTGTTTGGCTATCGGGTGGAATGTGACAGTGGAGTAACAGCAGCTGCTAACGCGCGCGCGCGACGCCTCGGCTGATATACCCAACTTCTGGCAGTGATTTTGATTACACAAAGACAAACAGGACCACGAAGCCAAAGTTTGCAAACCCCCGTGCGACACCACAGTGTATCTGATGGAGATAATTGGCAGAAGAGAGCCATAGAGCTAAAGTGCGCGAACCCGCGTGCGACACGCTGTCTGATATCTTTTGATGCTGTATCTGGTGCATGGAGATAATGGCAAAAGAGAACCATTGAGCCGTGCTGTTTGATACTGTACGACTTCTGATGTTGTATCCGATGGAGATCATGGCAGAAGAGAACCATAGACATAGACTAATAAAGCTAAAACGTTCGAGCCCCCGCGCGACACGCTGTCTGATACAGGGTTAAGTCGTCTAGTCTTGTAGAAAGTCGTGTGGATGTTGCGTTTACCTTGGGTTTAGATGCAAGATGAGGTCAACAACATTGTTTGGATGCTGCGTTTCCATGCGGTTTTGGTGCAAGATAATAATATAATTGCTGGGCCAGAGCAAGTAGAAAAGATCTGTGTAGCCTCAGCATGCTGTGTGTATGTTTGTAGGCTAATCTTCATGATAGTCCTACCCCACCAAAACGCTGCAAAATTCGACATAAATCTTGTTGTTTTGTGAATTTCTGATGTACAGCAGCTTTGGATAATTTTGGCAAACATACTCCTGTAGAGCATCGTAGAGCGTTTCCATGGTGTTTCAACATAAAGCGGGTGACCTTTCGGAGCCCGGGTGACTTTTGACTAATGCAGCGTTTCCATGTGGCCGGGTGACATTTTGCAAACCCGGGTGACTAAACCCCGACGCTTGTATATTTTAGATGCTGTATTTGATGGAGGTTATGATAGAAGAAAGCATAAGAAAACCATAGAACCCTGCTGTCATTCTGATGTTTTATCTGATGGAGGTAATGACAAAAGAGAACCATAGAGCTAAAAGTGTGCGAGCCCCCCGTCCGTGCGACACGCTGTTTGGATCTGTTTGGTATATTTTGATGTTGTATCTGATGGAGAGAGTGATAGAAGTAGAAGAGAACCATAGAGACTGCCTTGACTCTGTCGGGCCCGTGTTGGGCCCGTGAGCGCGTTGTCATGGGCCTGCTGGGCCCGTGGTGTTGGTGGTGGGGCCCGTTGGGCGCGTGGAACCTTGGAACGTGAAGCGACCATTCCCGCAGCGACACAACATAGCTCGGGTTCGGGGTTCTTTAAGAAGTTCGCATGATGCGGCTCCTGATTTTTTGGAGGAACATAAATTTTAGACCTTCCTTTCTTTTCGTTTGTTTGTTTCAGCCGCGCATTGGGCCTGGGGCACTTCAACCCTCCCTTGCTACTCCTTCTAACAAACCCTTCCGCGCGCTATACCTTAGTACCCTTGAACACAGAATTATGAGCTAGTCTGTGATGTTCCACTCAGACCACGCATGAGCAGCCAAGCAAACCCTCATCCACCACCGCGGACAGTGTTTTGATGGTTTTAGCCAAGTCCTTTGTCATTTTGACAATGTTAGCATGTTCTCGTGATCCGATGAACACCATAGGTTTTGGAATTGAATAGGCGTCACTTGTCAGGCTCAAGCTGCCGTGTCCTTCTCCAGCTCATTACGGGACAAGGCACTCAGGGATGCCTGGTCAAAAACCTGGCTGACAGGTCAATTTCTGTATGTGTGTCCGCTTCTGCGCTTTTCTTTGAAAGGGATTTGAGAGCAGAATTTGTTTTGGGGAGTAGCCGAGCTGACAAAGCAGGGGTTGCGAATGGTTTTGCAAATTCTCCAGTGTTGAGATATGATATGACTGAAGATCTAAGACTCTCTTCATTCTGACACATGGGGGGCGCCGTTGAACCTTTTGGATGTCAGGAGCAGTTGTCTAATCTCAGACCTGGAGAGTGGGAGAGCAACTTGGCAGTGTGAGAAGATGCCCAGAACAAATGCCCAGCAAACGCAATGAATGAACTTCAAACAATTCGGATTCACCTGCCAGATTTGCCCAAGCATTTCTCGGATTGATTTATTTGTTAGAAACCATTGCCTGGATGGTTCTGTCAAATACATTCTTCAGCTTCGCTGAAGGTCATTTGGAGCTGGGCAGCGGCTGTGAAGACTGGACTTGACGCGGGAGTCCCGCAAGTAGATTGTGGCTACAACATACATCCAAAAAGAGGTGACGTTGGGAACAAAAAGCCTTTGTCACGTGGATTGTCTTGTCATTTATTTGTTTGCATTACTCACATTCAGTCACACACGGTTGGGATACTCTTCATCCACCACCTTCTCCTGCCTTTTGTCATTTGGATAATTTACGGGCCCAGCTGCATTTAGTTGGATGGGACAGATGGCGTAGAGGCATAGACTACATTCAGGTGAAAGCAGTTGTAGGCCTAACCTACCCATCTATATACTGTATATATATATAATTCCCAGATGCTGGACTCTTGCAGTCGCCTTCCCGCACTTTATAGTGCCACGGACACAATGGCCCAACAGCCTTCCTTTTGGAACATGCAGCTTATTTAGAGCATTAATTGTCCTAGCAACACAGTTGGGCCACTGTGGCATTCAGGATGCCTTTTATAGCCACATTTTGCTGACATGTTGAAACATGTTGAAAACATCCAACGTTTGGAGTATTGGGGGCGCAAATGGCGCCTGCCAAGCACTGGGCTTTTAGTCAGTTTGAGCCCCCTAGGCCATTCGCTTTGAAAAGATGTGGGCCGAGAAGAGAGTCTTCGTTTGTTTTGATTGAGAAGAAGACGATGTAAAATTGTTATAATTGTTGTTTTGGTAAGCTTTGTCGGCAGGCCTTCACAGAGTGTACTTGCATATTTGGGAGAGTTTCAGCTTTGCAGCTGCAGGGGGATGTAGTCTGCCGCTACAGCTGCATGAACGGGATGTGTCAAAATCAAGCACATTGGACAGGTCTCGGCAACTTGGATTTTCGGCAATGCCGGCCAAATTGGCTCACCAAAGGGCTACATAGTACCCGAAGCCGTGCAGCCGGAGCGCTGAGTTTACTTGCGAAGACTTGTTGCTCGTCCCTTGATAGTTTAGTGTGGCAACTCCCTGCGTTTTGCAGCTGACGCTCGCGCTCCATACCATACTCATTGATTGTTGGGTTTCGTCTCAGTGGGTTGGGGAACGGGACCCTGTTCGCGCTATACTCCATAGCCAGTTGCTCTATGGATAGTAGCCTAGAACCACTGAGCAATCCCAATGTGAATCGGAGGTTTGTTTTGGTCTGGATGGACTTTGTCACTCTTGGGCAAACCTTTCCATAGTGTTCGAGCGATTTTGGTTGCATAGACTGTGCCGATACTGAGTGGAGTGTGGGAACTGTTTTGTTTGTCACTTGCTTAAAGATTTGCAGAACTGGGAAGGAGCACTTGTTCGCGTTTTGAGTTGGACTTCATGAGAGGTACCCCGGCTAAGGGCCAAGCTAGCTTAATTTCGGGGCTACCAATCTCAACAACATGACGCCTCATCTTACTGTACACCTACTGTAAATCACCGTGCGCGTGGACAAGACACGCACGCAGAGACATGACACATGCAAAGTCACGAAGTGCAAGTTAACACAAGTATCGATCCATGAGAAGCCGTTCCAGAAATTGAGCGAATAAGAAAGTTGAACTCGCAACATAGAGACTTGCTCCAGCTCCCTATGACTGAGCTGATGCATGCTGAACAGTGTTCGATGTACTTAGACAAACGAGAACATCTCTTTGTTTCGAGGTTTCAAGCGCAATGGCACTGAAGATTCTGGTCCTCGCGCAGTGGGCTGTTGCTGCCTCCTTGGCTCCAGGACCTGATTTCAAGAAGATGCGCTTGAGGATGGGAAGGATGCTTTCATTCTTGGCAATATTTTCCCAGAACAACAACTACTAATCCATACTACTCCTACTACGACTAGTTACCACGTATGCTGCTACCGCTGCTGCTGCTGCTGCGGCTGCTGCTCCTCCTCCTCCTCCTCCTACTACTCATAATTATATAGTAACAATAAGGTAGCATTTTCTCCGTCTTCCAGCGTTTTTGGACCGATGCGAAGCCAATGCCCCCATGAGACAGCGGAAGCACTAACAGGGGCAGCTTAACGGCGCATGCCCACGTCAAAACCGTGTTGAAAACATTTGAAAACCCTAAGGGTCTGTGGAGGTAAACAGATCACCTCAACAGATGAAAAAATCATGCAATCCGCAAAGACCACAGAAACATCGTTGCGACTTGATCTTTACCATGATTATGATCTCGGATGCACCCTCATAATTCATCTCTGATATACGGTTAAACATATTAGTTCTTATATTATTTCTTTTGTCCTCCAGGCGTAACTTTCCTTTATTTGGTAGACATTATTATTCACTTCTTATGGATTTTACACATCTCTTATCTTTGGAGAACTTTCCTTTAATATCGGACCTACAATCCACTTCATGTATAAAGGGAGATACCAAATACATGAAAGATACAGATGAATTATGGAAATACAAATAAGGAACATATCATCATAATAGATAAAATACATCGGTTAAAATATAATAGAAATACAATAGAAAAAAACCAGCGGTAAACCTATGAAATGAACATAATAAAACAATAAACATGTCACATTGTTTGCTGTCAATGAACTGGTTTGTTAGGAGACTGTGCATTCGTGGGCATCTACGGTGAGAAGGTGCAACGGCAATGCATTTCCAAGCTTGAGTTGGTTGTTGATTCGGGGAAGTGGATGATTTTGCACAAACGCACCCTAATCGGAATTTGGTTAGATCAGCATACTGTTTGCAAGAAGCAGCAAGGTTGGCCGCCACTGTCATGTTCCTAGCTAATTAACGAAGTTCATTATACAAGACTTGCAAATTTGGTTGCCATCCCTCAAGATGACCTCTTTTGCGACGGCAGATGGTGCAGCCTGACAGATGCCAGTACCAGAAACAGACTCTTCCCCATACACATAAGAGGCTTCTTTAAGTTTCAGAGCGTGAACAGTCAGCGGTGTAACATGGTGTAACTCATTATGAACATTCACCTTTGGTGAGTATGCCTATGTGAAGTCTAAGAAGAGATCGACGTCCAAGCGTAAGCTGAAGGGCAATGGCCTAGCTACGCAGCCTTCAATCGAAATTGACGCCTGGGTGCGCGGACCGACTGCTGAAACTTGTCGAGATTTGTGCGGTTAGTTGGTTAAAGCAAGGCATTTGTCGCATTGCCACAGCCGGAACTGTTGCCATAGTTTTGCCGGTGGCCAGGATGATTTTGCCATCCTTTTGCTCGAGGATGCAGATGGGGAGAGAATCTCACTGACAGATGGAACTCTCAAGGACAAAGACTTCCAGGCCGGCCCTCTGCTCTTGCTGACTTTCCTAATCTTGGCTTCCAGGCCGAGATCTGGTTTAATGTGGGAATTCAGGAAGTTTGCAAACATGTTCGGAACTGCTTGCCCCCACGGTCGGCTTGTACTTGCTGGATACAGGTTGTTTCAACTAAAAAGAACCCGTGTTTGCATTCGGGTACAAAATAGATTGATGCGTCCAGGTTTTGAGAGGACATGCTGCATTCTTTTCTGCATGGCCATGCAATGTCGCTCCATGTAGTAGATGTACAGTCGATTCCGCACCAGCTTCGTTGTTTTTGCTGATGCTGATTTGGAACCAACTGAAGCTCGTCCCAATGGCCACTTTGCCACCTTCCAATTTGGCAGGCCAAACAGCGGGCGCAAGCGAAGGAACATGTGAAGGATGCCGTCAAGGGAACTGCGCCGTGGCTGTCAAAATCCCTGCAGGTTCTCAAGGGAACGGTTGGAGCAGATGGCTGAGCTCGCCATATATGTTTATATTCTTAATTATATTGTTTGTCTGCAAAGTTTGCACATTGTCAAACTCATTCATATCAGGCATGGAAGCCAGGAGTGTGGGGGGTTGTAGGTTTGTACAGGCGGCGTACAGGGTCTTTACTACTTAAACAACATGGACAATTGCCCTTGTTGAAGCGGCTCTCACATTTTTCCATCTCTTTTTGCAAGACCCCACATGCCTTGCAACCCAAGGACATTTCACGAAAGGTAGCCCTCAGGGGGATACCTTGAGTTTGTCTTGCGAAGCAAGTGTGGGCTCCTCTGGTTCTAATAAATGATAGTTCAATTCAACGCCCCTCCCCCCCCTTTTAATTGATTTTTCAATCCAACCCAACCCCTGGAATTGATTTTTCAATACAGACCCCTCTTACTTGGAGCGGGTCATTTGGTCTGCGAGAACATTGGCAACGCGGAGTGTGAGTCATGAGTCAACAAGTTCCCGGATCAACGGCTCGTATCTGCATTGGCGCAGCGCATCCACTGCTGCTCGGATCTGGATTTGCTGGCGCAGCACATCGGATGTAGATCTGAAACCGAGTTACACCAACCACCGTGTGCACCACCACACCACGTTTTACTCCAACTGCTCACCGTTTACACCAAACCACCATTTACACCAAAGCACGTGTTACATCAACCACCGCTTACACCCAACCACGGCTTACACCCACCACCGTTTCCACCACACCACGGTATACACCCACCACTGCTTACACAAAACCACGGCTTACACACCAACCACCGTTTACACCAAACCACAGCTTACACCAACCATTGTTTGCACCAAACCGCTTGGAATTGATGTTTTACTCCTAACCCCCGTGGGCATTCATATGTCAAGACAGACCCCCCCCCCCGCGTCGTCCCGAAGTGGATCCAAATCATCGAATCAACAAACTTCTTTTGGGATGCAAGTGTACGTGCCTTGTGGTTGCCCCGCCTTGCACCTTCCAGCTTTCCTACCTTTTGTGTATCCCTCTTCTCAAGTGAGTGTGGGGTTGTACTCTCATTCAGGGTTTTTACCTGTTGGCCAGCTCATGAGCGCACAAGAATCTAGGTATTGCGGAAGTCGGACTTCGTGACAGAAAATGGGTGGCTTGGCATAAGGGGTGGAGTGGTTGAAGTATCATGAAGTTGCCTAGAAAACCAACAAGAATTGTGGAGGAAGGAAAGAAGCCATGCACCTACGGTTTTGTGAGATTTCCGTGTCCAGCCCGAGCAATGAACATTTGTGAATCCTAAAGTTCTAAAGTTCGTTGACAACAACATGAGAAACACACATACACACAAACACGCCCTCTC